TTGACAAAGGGAGAGGACCAGGAGGGCTCCATGTGCATGTCTGTGGGTCTAGGGTTGGGGAGTGGGACTGGGCTGCTGAGGGGGGCTTATATCTGGAGTTTGGGGGCCTGGCAGGGACTGGCTGGCAATTTGGGATGCTAGTGTCCTGGGCTGTCTGGGCTGCAGAGTGCAGCTCTGGCCTCTCTCGCTGAGAAGCTGGAATGAAGTGGGCATAGGTGCTGAGGCCTCGAGGTCAGAATCCTGAGGCTGTGCACTGGGGCAGGATCCCCAGCCCATCCTGAAGGGCCGTGCCCATTGGGGTCCCAGACTCTGGACTTATCTAAGATGAGTTTCCCAGCGAGGAATGAGGATCAGGGGCCTGGATCACTGGCTCCCAGGGGTGGGGTAATGGGGGTCTGCAGGGTGAAGGCTTCCTGGTCTCTAGCCTCTCCTTAGTCCCTTTGAGGGCTAGTCCCTGTTCAGGCCGCTGCCGGCCATCACCATATTAGGGCATAAACTCTAGGCGGGCTGTCTGGGTGCCAAACGGTCTCCAGCTGGGCCCGGCCTCCTGCAGCTCCCAACACCACAGCCGGGCTTTAGCCGGGCCATGTCAGAGGCCGGAGGTCAGGGGACAGGAGCAGCTACTGGAGGGAGACCCAGAAAGAGCCCCCCAGCTCAGGTCCCGCAGGCGAGCCATGAGTGTCTGGGATGTGGTGAGTGGAAGGGCTTTGGGGTGGGGCGGAGAATTCCTGGCCAGCCCCTCCCCTGGTCCAGCCCCCCTCATCCCAGTGCCACCGTGTTTCATTTGGGTTCAGAGAATCTCCTTCCATGAGATAAATCCCACAGCTGTTAGAGGCGCTGATCTTCCCCCTCTCAGCTCTTTCCCCTGGAAAATCTTCTCTGAGCCTGGCCAGCATCTCCCAGGAATCAGGCCCTTTGTGCCTGGCCTTCTCAGGTCCAAGGTGAAGCTGCGGCTGCACTCCCCAGGGCTAGGTTGGCTGCCAGCCCCTCCAGGTTGTTGGTCTTGACTCATTCACCCCCGCCACTTCCTCTCTACCAGTCTTGATCCTTGACCCCTTCCTCACCACTGCCCCCTCAGCATCAGCACTGGAGCACCTGCCGGCTGGTGCAGTGTTCTAGGTGCTAGGCTCTTCAGAGGGGACGCAGACACTGGTGAGTTAAGCCCCTGCAGTTCAGAGAAGACATGAGCATGGGGGAGCGCAGACAAGGAAAGAAGTCTCTGCCTTGGCAAGAGAAGGAGATGAGGAAAATGCCTGGTCCCCACAGGGTCCGTGGAGAAAGAGGAACAGGATGTTAACGCACCTTGTTGCATCCAGGAGGGCTTCCTGCAGGTGGGGGTCCTGAGCTAGGCTTTAGGCGGAGCCTGAGAGCGCACCACGGTTTCTTTCAGAAATCAGCAGAGGAGAGGGTGAGGGGGCCGTGCACTGGACAGGGAGCAGAGTTGGACAGGGACCCTGGTGGACTGGGTACATTTGACCTGGTGGACTGGTATCACCTAGAATAGGGGCTCTGGTGGCCAGAGAGAGAGAGAGATTGGGAAGGGAAAAAAAAATCCAAGAACAGAGAAAAAGATGAGTGACTTTGATGAAAGGTGTAGAAGCAGTGCTTCTCGGCTCTGGTGAAGGATCAGTTTTATTTCTAGTAAGTTATAGACCAATGCTTGTGTGAAATACAAAAATCATGTGCTTGGATATTGTGGCAATGCCAAATGTTTGAAACTCCTGCTCTCAACTTCTGAACTTACCATGCTGTAGATGACACAACAATTGGGTACTGACGTAGGGAAAAGACAGAGACAGACAGCGCACCTGCTAACCTGTCTATAGTGTTCAGTGCACGCCTAGCATTGCCCTAGGCACCTGGCACGTGTTGACTTATTTAATCTGTACAATTTATGAGGAAAGAATGATTATCATTCTCATTTTGTAGATGGGGAAAGTGAGGCACATCTGACAAGGCAGCAGAGCTGGGATCTGAACCCTGAGATCCTGAGCCTAAAGTCTCTGGGCTTAACCACCAGGCTGCGCTGCCTTGCACGAGGGAAAGCAGAGATACATTGAGAGGTTAGGGAAGAAGATGAAACAATGCGGGGAGAAAGGAGCATCAGCCAGTGTGAGGAGACTGCACATAGGGAGGGGCTGCTGGAGAAACAAGACAAGCAGAGAGAGAGAAAGGGCGGGCTTTGAGAGCAACAAGCTGGAGCGGCCAGACTGGGGAAGAGACTCAGGCATGTGGCAGGAGGAGGGCTTGGGGCAGGAGACACTGGCAAGAAGGGGCGAGACTGTTTGTGGGAGCAGTGGGGGAGGCAGAAGTGGACAGGCCCCTTTAGGTTCGGGGGTCCATCCCGCCTGGTACCACAGCGGCTGTGTCCCCGCTCTGCAGGGAGCTGCTTCCTGTGCCTGGTGGATGTGGTGCCCGTGAAGAATGAAGATGGGGCTGTCATCATGTTCATCCTCAACTTTGAGGTGGTGATGGAGAAAGACATGGTGGGGTCCCCAGCCCGTGACACCAATCACCGCGCCGCCCCCACCAGCTGGCTGGCCCCCGGTAGGTGCAGCTGTGCTCTCGGGCTGGTGCAGGAACACCTGGTTTCCCTTCCCTGGGATCATGATGCTACCCAAGGCCAATGCTCCACAGGAAGGGGTGTGCAAGGGATTCTTTCAAAGATGGTAGCGGGGAGGTACAGCTCAGTAGTAAAGTGAGCTGCTTAACATGCATGAAGTCCTGGGTTCAATCTCCAGTACCTCCATTAAAAATAAATAAATAAACCTAATTACCTCCCCCTCAAAGTAAAACAAAACAAAACAAAAAGATGGGGGCGAGAACACGGAGAATACGGCTGGTCCCATCTGGCTCAGGATGGACAGACGGGAGTGGAGTGACTGACTGAGTCCAGATTCACAGGTCCTTGGGGCAGGATCAGAACTGGTTTCACAGCCTTACCTGCTTGGGTTTCCACCACATCATCTCCTGGGAGTGGTCCTCTCTCCTGCCCCAGGGATCGGGGATTCACCCTTCCCAGATGGCCCTGGCCGCTTCCAAGTGGTTCCCTCTGCTCATCAGAAGTTTCAGTCTCTCTCATGGATTCAACTCCGTGAAGTTTCTGCCTCTGGTCCTTGTTCCCGGTCTGGCCAGCTCCCTGCTGTGGCCTCGGCTAATTGAGAAGAGGATGCGAGGGGAGTGGTCTCCGTGGCTGGGGACCTCACTTTATCCTCCTGTGACTCAAAGGCTCAGGGTCATCCCCCTTGCCCCCAACCAAGGCCCTCTTGGGTCTAATTTTAAGTATTCCCTTAGAGTCACAGGAAAAAAAAATCACCTCTTGGTTTCTCAAGCTCTGAAATGGCGATGTTAATAATGCTGGCCCTACCTGTTCCACAGGTGCCATCTGCAAGATGGCAAGTCATGGCAGGAGCCCATGGCATCACTGCTCCATTCAGACGCAGGCCCTGCCATTCACTGTGTGACCTCCTACCAATCGCACAGCTCATTGGTGCCTAAATTTCCTCAGGTCTAAAATGGAGACATAATGGTACTCACTAGTGCAGCTGTGAGAGTCTCAAACAGTTTGTGTAGAGACCCCGGTGATGTGAGGCTCAAGAAATGGTGGTTTATTATTGCCAGAGCCTTAGATAAGGTTGTATTCTAGACTTTTCTGGAGACTTGAGTTCTGTGCAGTAGGAGTGGGGGTGCAGGGGTGCTGGCTGTCAAGGCTCCTGCTTTCCCTCCTTCCTCCCCTTGGTGACTGGGGCTCCAGATCCTGGGCCTTGCCCCCTCTGGGGCTGTGGCCGTGCCCACAGCTACGCACCTCCCCTTGCCACGCGCCTCCCCTCGCCACGCACCTCCCCTCTCCCCGCAGGCCGCGCGAAGACCTTCCGCTTGAAGCTGCCCGCACTGCTGGCCTTGACTGCCCGGGAGTCATCCGTGCGGCCGGGTGGCACAGGC